TCCAAGGAGTGTATCTACCTAATGTAAATGTTCAGCTCATATACCTGTCTTTTGTTTGGTTGGAAGCCATAGGAGTGGGTTTAGTTCCAGACATGAAGGTCAGCTAGGGGCCATCATCTCAGGGGTTCTACTAGGCTCTATCAGAAGAGCAAACCTAGTCCCCCCCCCCCTTTTTTTTTAAATGATTTTGAGTTTTGTTCCACATTATTCTCCCATTCTATCCAGGATCTCCTACATAGACCCCTCCCCCACCACCTCCAAGTGGTTGAAGGTGGTAGCCGAGTACCACCTAGTTCTGGGCCACAGTTTCTTTGTTGCAATAATTGAAAGAGTTGAATTAGGTGACATATAAGGTCTCTCAGTTAAGGCAAGAGTGGAAAGAAAAACAGAAATAGAGGTGTCAAGGGTCAAGACTGCCAGAAGCAACATTGTCAGTGCTCCTCAAATCATTCTTATCATGCCTATTTTTAAAACCACCACCTGGTGCTTACATTTTCAGCTTTTGTTATGTGAACAGGTGGGAGGGAGGTGTATATGTATGTGTGGGTGTGTGTGTGTGTAAGAGCAAGAAGGAGTGAGAGAGACCTTACTGTTTCTTAACAAGAAGGCTACAAAAAGGCCAAGGACTGATGCCATCAGCTAGATCTTAGGAACCACAGCAACTACTCACCTTGGATATTAGGATATTTCCAGTTGTGATATGTGAATAGTAGGCTTTGGCTTCAGGGGACTGACTGAAATATGCATCATACTTTGGCTAAGCTACAAACAGGTTGTCACTTTCTCATCACAACTGCCATCTGTTGTCCTGGGGACAGCTGCTTGGGAAATGAGAGCCCCACTAAGATTTCAGAGCCTCTTGGTGGCTTTGACTCAAAGATAATCAGGGGCTTGTGCTGTGACCCTCTGGCCACCTCGTTTTCAATCCTGCTACTGATGCAGAATGGGCCTTAAGGACAGTAAGAATGAGGAGGGAGAGGAAGTGCTGCAGAAGGAAAGGGCCTGGGCTTCCAGGCTGAGAGGACAGGGAGAGGAGGGAGGAGTCTGAGGCCAACAGAACCTGGAATCCCAGTTCCTTCATAGACTGTCCACCCAGGACTTAGCCAGCACAGTTGCCTCCCATTTCGTGGGAGTGCTCCCCTGTGTTCTTACCCTACTCTCCACAGAAAGGGAATAAAGTAGCTCTTCTTGGAGGTGAAGTTTCAGCTGACAGTGAATCCAAGGTGGAGTCACTGACACATTCCTGGCAGAGATGATAGAAGCCACAGGTCAAAGATTGGTTTTCACCTCTACGTGTACAGCATGGGCATGATTATAGCTTCTGCCTCTGTCTTTTTGTCCATGGAGACCATTGTTGGGAGAGGAGGGGAGGCCCAGGGAGTTTCCATGATTGACCAAAGTCACTCCAGGTCTAGAACAGAGCTCTCTGGACTCCCAGTTAGTGCTCTTCCCCAGCACATTATAATGAAAGAGGGTGTTGTCCTACAACACTAATGTCCTATATTGTTTCCCTGAAGGCAGCGTTATAATAGTAATCTTACACTAACTAGTGTTATAATAGTAACACTTACATTTTGTTTAAAATATTTAAATATTTAAATGTTTAGATATTTATATACATAGGTGTATGTTGGTTATGTCTGTATTTATGCTCTGCCCTAAACCCACTGCTGCCAAGTTGATTCCAACTCATAGCGACCTTATAGGATGGAATAGAACCCTGTGGGGAGCTCTGGAGGCATGGTGCCTAAGGCATTTGACTGCTAACCAGAAGGCTGGTGGTTCAAACCCACCAGCCACTCCTCAGAAGGAAGGGTGGGCAATCAACTTCCGTAGTGATACTACCTCGGAAACCCAAGGAGGGGTTGCTATGAGTCGGGTCTGATTCGACAGCAGAGAGTTTGGTTGTTTTGGTTTAGAACCCTATGAGGTTTCCAAGGCTGTAAATCTTTACAGGAGCAGACTGTCACATCTTTCTCCCATGGAGAAGCTGATGGGTTCAAACCACCAACCTTTTGGTTAATAGCCAAGCGCTTTAACCACTGTGCCACCAGGACTCCTGTTTTTATACTGGATAGTTTAAAATGCCTACAGTGGCTCATTCATTCAACTAACTTTTGCTGAATCCCTACTGTGTGCCATGGATCGATAGATTCTAAGAATGGAAAAATGAATAAGACATGGCCCTTGCTCTTAAAGAATGCTTGGCCTGGTGGAGAAGATAAACACATGAAAAAAGAAAAATAGTACAAAATGCAATGAAAGCTGTGCCAAAGCTATAATGGAATCAGAGAGGCAGACACCCGATTCAGTTTAGGGAGGTGAGCGATGGGGGGAGGGGGAGGGGAAAGTTTTTTTCAGAAAGTAATACCTAAGCTATGGCTTAAAGGATGAGGTAATAATTCCAGGAGGGATAAGATAGAAAGCATTTGGTCCTTTAGATTCCAAGGATGAATCTGTAGTCATCATGATTGTGGAACTCTGAGGTCACATTTGTTGTTATGTGCCGTCGAGTTGGACCTGACTCACATTTACAGTTGCAATTAACCGGGCAAAATCCTGCCATGTACCTTGGAGACCTCCCAAATACATCTGTTGCTCGGTTTACAATGAACCCTGTGATTCCAGTCCCTGTAGGCTCTTGAATTCTTACACAGAAACCTGAAGTGTGGAAAAGGTGAAGGAACCCATTACAGGGCGAACAAGAATCTGTTTACATTTATAGTAAGAGCACACACACTTAAGGATTCTTCCACTCCACCTGTGGGCTAGTCCAGATGGTGGAGTCTTTGTGTGATATGGGTCTGCACATATGTACCCTACCTCCACCTGTCCAGGTCCTCCTCCTCCTTTCAGACCAAGGACAAATGCCATTTCCAGGAATCCTTCCCTGATTCCTGCCATCAGAAGTAATCTCTCACTTTTCAGAAGTAATCTCTCACTTTTGCCTTGTCTCTGATACCCAGAGCATCCAGCCTAGAATCAAAAGGGATCTGAGTCTCACACTTCAGGGATGTGAGGGATGGGAGAGGAGCCTGAGCTGTAGGGGATGTCACATGCACACGCACCCCACCCTCAGGGAAGACATGGTAGAAAAGAAGCAGTGGGTTCCACACATACGGACGTTTCTTCCCTTGCCTCACTTCTCACTACCTCCCTCCTTCCAATCCAGCCGTTCCAAATGATCCTCAGTTACCTGGAGCTGATTTGCTAGGTTATTCCTCCATATTTTTGCACAGTGTTTTCTGGGCTTGAGTGGCCTCCCCATTCTTGTTCACCCACCAATACCTACTCAAGCTTGCCTGCTTGTGAACTCATCTCGGACTCTTCCCTCTCTGCCCTAGCCCCAACCGAAGTGAGCTCAACAATTCCTTTCAGTTATACCGTGGCCTCGGTATATTTCTGTTACTATACCATCAATACTATCATACTTCTTGGTACAGTCTGCTGAATGGTGAGTAGCTTGAGGTTGGTTGGAAGCTGTGTCTTGTTCTTCTCAATGTCCCCAGTACCTAATTGAATGGGCAAATGAATGAATTTGTATCCTTTCCTTGTTTTCCTTAAGACCAGGAACTTTGTCTTATTCATCTTTGTGGCCCCATCACAGTGCCCTCCACATAGTGGCACCACAATAAATGTTTGTTATTGAATGAATGAATCTAGTCATTCCCACTCATACTTTAGCATAGCAACCCACATCGTAATACTGAACTGATTCTTTTAAAGTGACCTATGAAAATGAAATGTATTTTAAATATTTGTCAAATAGACCAAATTTGTCAAGAGTTTTCAGTCTTCTGACCTCATTATTGCCCCACCCAAGTGCCAGCTGTCATAGGAGGAAGCCACTTGCAGACTCCCCCACAAAGAAGCACCCCCAAACTCTCCCCAGGCTGCATGGTTCTATACTCTCTCTTCCTGTTCAACAAACCTCCCAGAGCAGAAAGGCTACAGTGGGAATGGGCCAGGACATGGTCTGCACATATGGAGTGATAGGCCAACAAACTGATCAGAGAAGGAGCAGATTTCAATTGACAGTCTTCATCTTCCTGTCACTGCAGCCCCACTCTTCACCATACTCTACACTTCCTATGAACATAGCCCATATCTGCTGTGTCAGTGAATGAGGAAAGGGAGAGACAATCCCCAAACACAATTTTAGCCACAAGTTTCCATTTGCTCCCTAACTAAACATTTTATCAGAGATGCAAGCAAAACCCTGTGTTCCAGATGTCAGTGCTCCTAATCCCTCTCTTTCACCCTTTAACACAAGTGAAACAAGAAAGCAGTGAGCAGACAGGGTGCTGTCCCTCTCCCCCCACTGGTCACTTCCTTGCCCTGACCAAGCAGCCTTTGCTCCCAGAGGAAGGAGGGGTACATGACCCACGCACCAGCTCCAGTTCTGCTCGCAGCTTTATCTGAAGGTGAGGAGCCGAGAAAGGGAGGAAGGGCTGAAGTGATGCTGACCACTGGATGCTTGAGAATGGATGTGAACTAGAGTTAAGGCTTAAGAGGATAATGACTGGGAGAGGCCAGGAAGGAGGTTTGCAAGCAAAAAGTCTTCTCTTCATTCTTTATCAGGCTATTAGATATCCTCAGCAGTCCAGATGGTGGAGTCTTTGTGTGATATGGGGAAAATATACCACCTATGGAAGGTTGCAGTTTACAGGTGCTCTGGATGGGAAGTAGAGGCTCCTGCTAACTGCAGCCCCCAGCCACAGCCCCTTCTGCCAGCTGTGTTATACCTGCTCCAGTGTATGCAGGGCCTAGGCCACCACCTAGTCGACTTAACAGCTCACTCCCTCCTGACTAAACCCTTTCTGAACCTACCAGCTGCAGCCAATCTCAGAGTCAATGTCTACCCCAGATGGGGCTAAGACCAAGTGTTTTAGGAAGTGAAGAACTGTTACCTTTCATTCCCTTCCACCCTTTTCCCAGCTATTTGTTGCCCCAAGTGCCCTATCATTTCCTCACCTCCCTCTGTCTCTCTTTCCTCTCAGGCCCGCAGGATCCAGAGTAACCCTGTGCTGCTCAGAAATAGGCAACTGTGCTCTGCATGTCGAGAAATAAAAATGGTAGGCAAAGGGGATGTCAGAGTTGGGCACAGCAACATCATGGAATCTGCTTAAGTAAAAGCAAAAGAGGTTTATTGAGTGATAGAGACAGTCTGGACCAGGAAGATGTCCTAACTCATAGGGGGAAGATGGCTGCTCCACCAGACATTGAGAAAGAAAACGTTTTTATTCAGTTAGAGCAGGAACTAAAAGTTACAAAATTGTAATTAGCTGAAAGACAATCAGGGGAGTCAAAGGCAGGATATCTAAGAGCAGGGACTTCCCAGTGATAGGTGGGTAACATATACATGGGATTACATGATTGGTTAAAGCACATAATTGCAAGTGTATGTGCTCTTCAGTTTATTGCAGGATGGTCATAAGACAATGGCAGGACAGATTTTTTTTTGGTAACCTACTATAAAAATGGGAGCTCTGGTAGCATAGTACCTAAGGCACTTGACTGCTAACCAGAAGGCTGGTGGTTCAAGCCTACCAGCCACTCCTCAGAAGGAAGGTTGGGCAATCTACTTCCGTAGTGATACTGCCTTGGAAACCCAAGGAGGGGTCGCTGTGAGTCAGGTCCGACTCGATGGCACATAAAAAACACTATAAAAATAGATTTTTCAATCTTGTCTGTTTCTGTAGGTCCATTGTAAAGATTTGTTGATAATGTCAAGACCCTTCAGGGATAAGCTATCACATCTTGTATCTTCTTGACCATGGTGAAAAGACCCTCTGGAAATAGATTGTGAGATCCTGCACCTACCAGACGTTAGAGAAAAAGAATGTCTCCTTTAGGGTATATGGTTAGGTCAGCATCAAGGTTAGAGGAAATGCTATTAGAAAAGACAGCTTTAAAATTCAACATGGATTCTGGATTCCTGTCAAGACTTTAAAATGGAGTTAAGGCTCTGCTTTCAAGCTGCTCTATTTACACACACCAAGTGCCTCTGATTTGATTCTCATACACAGCAAAGCCCTTGGAGACTGTGATTGGGCCCCTTGCAGGGTAGGCCTTGGAAAGGGCTACAAGTGAGGAACTGTTGGGCATGGGAGCACCAGCAACTGAAAAAATATGATAAATCTTCCTTATTTTCAAAAAGCCTAAGGTGAACCAAGGTCAGTGGGCCAGAGGGGAAAGATGGGCTGAGCTGAGCTGCTTCGTTTTAGACGCCTAGGGTGACTGTACCCTCAGAGAGTTCAGGTTAAGGGGGATATGGGAGCATCTTCTAGCCCTTTGTTGTTGTTGTTGTTATGTGCCGTCGAGTCGGCGCCAACTCATAGCGACCCTCCTTGGGTTTCCGAGGCAGTATAGCCCTTTAACATCTCCCTAACACAATACACATGCTCACACACACACATACATGCACACACAAAAATCTTTCTCCACCATTGTATTCATGAAACAAGCAGTTTCATCTTTGGGTTCGTAATTAATTCAGTTAGCACCTCAGTGGGGAAAAAAAACCCTGCAGAGATTTAATAGCACTTTTTAGCTAGTAAGGGACATAACCTACCCTGGATATGTGTCATTCGTTGTGGGACAGAATGGGGGAGTATTAGGAAAAATGGAAGGCTACCAAGGGGAATGCAGAGGACACAAGGACAAACCTCTGCCATCAGTTACAGGTGCTGAAGAAAAAGGCCTTCCAAGATTGGAGTTAGGACTAGGGTCAGTTAGGGTTAGCATAGAATGGTTGTTAGGGCCAGAGTAAGGACCAGACTTAGGTTGAAAGTTAACTTGGCTAAATGATTAGGTGTAGGGTAGGGGTTGTGGAAAGGTCTCTTCAACTCTGAGATCCTATGAGTCTCCTCTGACTCAAGAAGAATGTTAAGTTTAGATATGCAGTAAGAGGAAGAGCAAGGGATGGAAGAAAAGTAGGGACATAAGACAGGCTCCTTTGATGAGTTCATGGCAGAGGTGCTTCAGGTTAGTGGGACATGGAAGAGAGTAGCAGCTTTGTGAAATTCTCGTGTGAGATTTGGAAATTTAACTAAAGCCATTGGCAAAGGCATACATGGATATTACAGTCAGTGTTCATTTTGAACATCAACAGGAGCACAGTGTTCAGTATTAACCTTGACTGGAGTCTGGTAAACCAGGATTGAGATTTCTTCTGGAGTCACTTCCCTTGTGTCCACATTTAGAACACACTGACCCTGGGCTCACACTAGCCTTGACCAGCTGGCTCACTTGGGACTTCAGCAGCTGTCCTTTTTCTCAAAACTTCCTCTCTATCTTTTGCTCTCACCCAGGCCTGATAAAAGTAGAACCACATGCTGTGGTTTTACCATTGAGGTCTTTCCTTGAAGATTTCTCCCCACTCCATCCTTTCCCCTACCTCAGTCTCAGAAAGGAAGGGCCTTAAATTGAAGAAAAAAAAAAGCCCAGAGAATCCTTCCCTACTACTCAGAATTAGTGCATGCAGATCCATGTGTGAAACTTATAAAGAAAGTTAGAAAACAAGGCAAGGGTAAGATACCCTTACCTCAATGGTGCAGTAGAACATCGGAGTCTTTCTAGGGAGATGAACTGCAGATTTACAGTTCTTTCTCAACAGTGAGTTGAATGGAGATGCTGGAGAATATATAAAAAGATTCTTAGGAATACAAGAGAACTTCCTTGTCCTGATAAACAGCATCTATGAAAAATCCACAGCTAACATCTTCCTTAATGGTGAAAGACCTGGTGGGGAGTGAAAAGTTGATCAGGGAAGGCTACCTGGAAGAAAATACTTCACAGAGTTTTCAAGAATTCATAGGAGTTCACCAAATGACACACTTTTTCTCAGAGACAAAATGCTATCCTTGACAGCTTTGGTTCTGATGTAGCACCTATATAGCCCACTTCACAGATAATATTGGGAAATGGTAGTACTACCTGGATTAAGAGGCTTTAGAACAGGGGTCATGCTACTCAGGAGGAAGTAGAAAGTTCCCTTCATCTTTCCTTGGAAAAGGACTGACTTTAGAGGAAATTTTGAAGAAAGGTCAAGACTGCCTCTGGTGTGTTCTCACCTCTTCTTATGTGTCTAGAAAACTCTCCTCACCTTCTGTCTAAAGCCCCTGCCTCTCCACTACTCCCAGATGCTACTTGTTACCAGATCACCTTCTTTCCCCCTTACCTCCATGGCCCCCTTGGCTAATGAGTAAGGAGAAAAATGTGATTAAATGCAGTTGGTGCTTGGTGTTCCTGTAGATTTACTTTTCAGTTTTGTTTTTGTTATTGTTGCTATTTTCAAACACCCCTAAAGGTCCTTGACACAGAGTAATTTGAAATTTTTCTGATTCTCTAAATTTAAAACAGAAGTCACTTAGTAACCCAGCTGGACACCTATTCGTGGTTATCTTCTTATTGTCATGACTCTAGTAATGCTTGAGAAATAATGAAAAAACAAAAAGAAACTCCTTCTAAGTGAAAACATGATCTCCAAAAGAAAACCAACAGCTAGTGCTAGTAAAGGCACTCTGGTGGCATAGTGCCTAAGGCACTTGACTGCTGACCAGAAGCCTGGAGGTTCAAACCCACCAGCCACTCCTTGGAAGGAAGATTGGGCAATCTACTTCCATAGTGATACCACCTCGGAAATGCAAGGAGGGGTCACTATGAGTCGGATTTGACTCGATGGCAATGAGTTTAGTGCTAGTAACAAATGTTAAAAAAAAAAAAAAAATTCAAGAATGTGATGTCTCTTAACCAAGAATACTGTTAACTCTTTAAATGATTTTAGCCCTACGTGAAGGATACACTTAAATTTTTCAAGTGTGCTTTTTAGTGGGGTCATTCATTCACTAATTCAGAGATATTTCTTAAACAGGCACTGTGTTAGGTCCTGGAAATTGTCTTTGCGCTCAGACAACTGAAATTCTATCAGAGAAACCAGACATTAAGCAAGTACATGCAATAAAAGTGCAGTGAGCATTCTGAAAGACAAAGCCCAGAGAACAATAGGAACGTAAAGCAGGGGACTACCAAACAAGGATGTTTGTCCTTGTGTCCTCTACATTCCCGTCTCTGTGAGAAAGTGACGGTTAACGTAAAAGCAGAATGATGTGTGGGGAATGATTTAGGCAACGAGAATCTGAGGGTTTACTAATGTTGAAAGGAGCTCTGGTGATGCTGTGGTTAAATCACTTGGCTGCTGAACTGAAAGGTCGGCAATTTGAAACCACCTCCTACTCTGTAGGGCGCTCTGGTAGCATAGTGCCTAAGGCACTTGACTGCTAACCAGAAGGGTGGTGGTTCAACCACCAGCCACTCTTCAGAAGGAAGGTTTGGCAATCTACTTCCATAGTGATACTGCCTCGGAAACCCAAGGAGGGATCTCTGTGAGTAGGATCCGACTCAATGGCACATAACAACAACAGCTACTCTAGGGAAAAGAGGTGGTAGTTTGCTTCTGTAAAGATTACAGTTTTGGAAACCCTGTGAGGCCGTTCTACTCTGGCCTGTAGGGTAGCTGTGAGTTGGAATGGACTTAACAGCAGTGGATATAATCTTGAGCTACCTAACTTCAAAAACCTGATAACCAGGGAAGAGCAAGCACCCTATGACTAAGAGGGCAGAATGATGTCCTCGAGTTCATTCATACCACAAAAGAATGTATGAATGCCTTCGGTATTAAACACAACTTGGGTACATTATTTAAACCACAATGGAGTTTGGGGCAGTGTTTAAATAAGACTTTCTTCCTTAGGTAAAACCAAGAACTATGCTTATCCCAGATGATCTGAAACCATCCTTTGAGAATTTTACGAATCACAGGTAAGTAGAAAATTTAAATCAGGCATGACTTTAATTCTGGTTTTATTTGTTCAGGGACACAGGACAGTGGATTAAGGAACATAGTAAGTAGAATTCTTAAAGAATGTGTAGGGAATGGACTTAATGACTGGTTCCATTTTCTGCCTAAACATAGTGAAACCAAAAAATATTTTCATGTTTTTCTTGAACAGCTGTTGAAACTACTATAGAAAGGATTATTTTCCTTTCCACCTTCACAAGAACATTATACAGAAAGAATAGATAGTTTCTTTGATAGCTCAGAATGAAATACAAATTACAAGCAATTTGTATTTTAAATGAAATACATATAAATGGCATATCTAATTCAGGAGGCATGGGGGATTACATATAATCTGACCTGAGTTCAGGACAACGTCTACTGCTTTTTAATAACTAAATCCCTGTTATCAGTTTACTTTGGTGTCATTTGCTGCTTGCTTTCTTTTTTTTCTTCTTTTATTGTGATTTGGGTGAAGATTTACAGAGCAAATTCACTTTCCACACAGCAGTTCACATATACTTTGTCTCATG